TTTTTTTCCCAGGAAAAGCTCTGCAAGCCATTTGCTCTGGCAAATACGCAAGTGTGGAGGGGCTACAAGTGTATGACGGGGTTCATCTACACGCAGGGAACAACTCCCAGCAAAGTACAGGCAGCCCAATGAAAGAGAGAATTATAATTTTAACCAGTAAGACACATGAGAAGGCTGCAGTGCAGCTATTACCCAAAGCACTCGGGTAGACCTTTCATCTAACTATCAGGAGTGAGATGTCTCCTCTTCTGCACCAAGATGAGGATGGACAAGCAAGTGAATGTAACATGGTAGGTGTTTTTCAGTCTCTGTGCAACAGCTATTGGCCTCCCCAAGCTTCTCAGAGGGCGCGGGCTGGGTATGCAACCCTCTGGTGAAAAGCACAGCCCTTTCCCGCCCTTCGTCCTAAAGGAGGATGTTACTGCACTGCAAGTGGAGCTCTGAAGTCCTCAGTAACAAACCCTTGTTGCAAGGGAGGATGCAAGTCCAGCAGCCCCACAGCCTGACAGTCACAGAATTTGGTAATACAAACCAGACGGCACATCCAAAACAAGCATCACGTGCCTCCAACCATGCCATCTCACCAAGGACGGCTGCTCTCAGCAGGGTCCAGCACGGTACTGTGCAGCCAACGTCCATCATACCCTCCACACACCTTACCAAAGGGACATCAGACTGATGCTCCAGAAGAGACAATGTCTCAAGAAGAGACAGATTGAACAGTGATAGGTAAAACATTGCTAGAAAATATAGTATTTCCAATGCATCTTCAGCAGACAAGTGTGTCAGCTTCATTTGTTTCTTCATATAAAAACAGAAGATACGGAAAAGAAAGAGGACAAAAGATGTGTGTGGGCTCAGACAGCCCATCCCCACCTGTGCAAAATTATTTACCACTCTGGTGTCTCCCTTCCAACATTTTCCTGTCTGTATATATATATCCCAAGCAGTAAGGTTCTTGCTATTGTCACTCAGAAACCAGACCAAAACATGCGTCCTTTAGAAACTTTTTCCTGATATTCCACCTAGATTTATTTCCCTGAGCTGTGCTGCATCATCCCTGTGTACATACTTCCCAATAACCTCCTAAGCAGCTCCTCTCTCTGAAGCTCACCAGAAGCTCAAATTACATGGAAACAGTTGGGTTTGCCCTTTTAATCGCCAGTCACTCACGATGAACACACTTAGTTGCTTTAACCTCTCCTGGTGCCTCAGCTCTCCTCCAGCACCCTAATCACAGTTTTTATTCTTTGAACTAACTTCCCTGTCTCAGCGACGCGGAGCACAGAGGCCCGGGTGGGATCTGACTGAAGCCGCATAGTCCTCAGTAACATAGCACCACCGGCGCCTCTGGCAGGGAGCGCGTCGCGCCCGCCCGTGGGGCTGCCGCCCGCGGGGCTGCCGGCCCCGGTTCCTCCTCCCGCCCTGCTTGCTCGCTGCACGTCACCCGAGCATTAAAAGCTTCCTCAGGGGTAACCGCGCTGGCTGTTGGAGGGCCGGCACCCCTGGACGGGTCCCCCGGGCCTGCGCGCCGTGTCCTGTGGCAGGGGAAACGCGGAAACGCACGCAGCGCTGGTTCTGCCAGGCTTCGGCCTCGCGAAACGCGCCCCTGTGGCAAGCCGAAGCCCAAAACAAACATGTAGCACTGGAATGCCTCAAGGCCTCATGCAGGGACGTGGGGCTCTCTGAGACTTGGGAAAACTGTGTTTTCCGTTCTGCCAACCACGCAGGCCTGCGAGCGCATCGCAGGGCACTCTCCACAAGGCCCGACTGCGTCCAGGGCAGGTAAGCCAGCTAGGGATGCTCTGAAACGATAATCTTTCCCTGGCAAGGAAAAGGCAGCATAAAACCCACCTGCATATAGCTTTAAAGACACGTCAGCTCTGGCACAACAAGCCAGAGCAAGAAGGGTATCTGGAATAGGTGACCACAGTGCCAAATGATAGCCTGTTCCTGGGCGGCTGGCAGAAACGCGTCCCGCAGGTGAGTAACACCTATGATGTTATTCATCTAATCTATGACGTTATCCATCACTCACCTAAACATTGTGCCACCAGGCACAAATGAAGGGACGGCATGTATTTTCCATTTGCTAGATTTCTGCATATGATCCAGGAACAAATGTCTATATATAAAGTGCAGCTAATGGTATTTGCCTGCTTTAAGACACAGAAGCTGAAAAAGCCCCCATGTAAGCAACAGGCAGTATTAATATTATATCAGGCTTCTCTGCAATATCTTTCTCATAGAATGTATGTGACCTGGTGCATCTACCTCCTCTATGCCTTGGAGGGGTTAAAGGTAATTTAAAATTTTAAGTCTTCCCCTCTGATTGCTTCAGTTCCCCTTGTTCCTAGAGAGCTGAGCAAATTTCACGTCACCTGAGCAGTAAAGTAAAAAACGCCTCAGCCATGGAGGAGGAATCTAGGTTAATTATGTTGATAACTTAACCTCTGGGCTAATCTCTAGCCCATTAAGGTAAGCAGATGGTCAGTGCACTGCAGGGGAGAGGATGGAGCAGCGGCTCCCATTCACAAGGCGCAGGACGAGACGCGTCCCGGAGGTGGTTGGACATCCTCAGTCTGCTCCCTTCCTCCCCAGGGCTTTCCTCTGCACCCACTACTAGCAAAGCAGTCTGGAGAAGAAAGCACAGAGCCATCAGGAGATAAACAAAAGGCCACGCAAGGTGGTTTGGTTTTGTTTTGCTTTCCTTGATTCAAGGCATCAGCGCCTTGGCAAAGACTAAATATAGAAAGATACAGGGAATCAGAGGCCCTTACAGAGGCACTTACGAATGCAGGCCAGCCTACCTGAAATGGGAAGGTTAAGCAATAAATAGGGAACCTTATATCTGTAAGAAATAAAGGTCAGACAAAGTGTCACTGTGCAAAAGGAGAAAAAGAGCACTTGCAAGGCAGCCTACTGACCGAAGCAGATGCTGAAAGCCCTCCCGGCCTCCCAGGAGTGCTGCGGCCGGGGCTGTCTCCCTCCCAAGGTGACAGGGAGGAGGGAGGACAGGCCCTGGGGTCAGAGCAGGGGGCTGGGAGGCAGGTTCTTGGCATCCATCCCCATTTGTGTCAGTGATGACCGGATCGAGCAGGGCACTCTTGTCTCCATTGCTCCGTCTGCAGGGAATTCCTCCTCTGTCTTCCAGCTGGGGTATTAAGGCTTAAATATCTACAGAGTGCTTCGCTATGCAGCCCTCAGGTGAAAGCGGAGAATGACACCTCGCGTCTCCCGTAACAGCCGTTCTTCCGCGGAGACCAGGATGCTGGGGACCGCGTGGCCTGCCTAAGAGCTCCTTGGCTTCCACTGAAATTGCAGAAGAGTCTTCACCTGTTCTCCTTCACAGCAACAGCAAAACCGGAGAGAACAGGATGAGTCTGGGTTTGTGCACGAACATCTGTGGTGTACACAAGAGACTCTCCAAACGACCCATTCTAAGGATCGTTTCTTAGGGCAAAACCACCAACTTACTCCTCCAACCATGCTAACAAATGACTTCCCACACACAGAAGCTGCAGGCCCCCTACCAGGACACCAAAGGTTCCAGCACACGAGTATCTACCCATGCAGACAAGCCGGATGGGGGAGCTTCAGACTTCATTTTGTTTAAAGGCACATTCCAAGAGGCCTGGTGGTGCCGTAGCTTTGCACCGTGACATGGAGATCCCTGCATCAACACATGGCAGGATCAAACCACAGTGCAACTGCGTTGAGCTGCCACGCTAAGACCAGTGTGTAGCTGGGTATTAAACAACAATATCCGGAGGAGATGAGTCCAGCTGGTACACATTACAGCCAAAGTACTTATGTAGGGTGTAGGCTCAGCAGCCTTCCCTTACACACAGCATGCAGGTGAGCTGTGCGTTGGGAAAAACAGGGTTCAGAAAAAGCTGATGAGATCGGTGAAGCCCTGAGCGTGTCCGCTTGGCGCACCGTGGGTCCACGCGAGCTCTGACCACGCTCTGAGCTCTCGTGCGGCTTTGCTGCGGTCGGTGCTGAGATGTCACCTCACTCCGCACTGCGCCCGAGCAGTCACGTTGCTCTCAGACCAGGGCTCACTTGCACCCGCCGGCTCAGAGGGCAGGTCAAGGGAGCTCACTGGTGCCTACAGTATATTATGCACACGCAGCCCACGTCACCCACCTGTGAGCTTATAAACGCCCTTCTCCTCATCTTCCCTTCCCTGCTCTCCGTTCCCTCCCTGCTGGTGGGCTCTCTGGGAAAGCGGAGCTGGGTGGGACTGAATTTCACCCATCTGCCCCTGCTGTCTGCGCGCACACACACACCAGGAGGGTTCCCAAAGACACCGCTGCTCCCAAGGGGAGCTGCACACTGCTCCGTGGCCCACAGACAGCCCCTAGGCGCTCATCCCTTTCATGCTGCACCCAGCAGCTGAAGCGCCGCTTCTGCCAGAAAAATGACCACAACCCACGGACCTTTCCTCACTGAGGAGACCTGCTCCCTCCATGAGCACCTGCGCAGTCGGCTCTGCTCACCCACGGATCTTGTAACGGCTCCTTATTCCTGCTAGTGGTACGCAACTGGCAAAGGCCCTCCTCTTCCGCTTCAAACTTCAATATCAGCAAACCGCATCGTACAATAATATGTATAACCAGCAGTACTACCCACTTACACACTACAGGTAGCTCAAGCCCTGGACAGGGGCTCAAGCTTCTCCCTCTGCCATCCAAGACAGCTCATCCACTTCTGCTGCTGTCACAACCAGGATGCAGGCTCGGAAATCCTCAACAGATGCAGCACCCCTTGGCTTGGCAGAGAGGCCCTGGCAGGAGACCACCTGTATGCCATGTGAGGTAGGTAGGCATCACAGCCTCAGCTTCCTTGACAGACCCTTACAATTCTCATCTCTAAATCCACTTCCAGATGTAAACTGAGGAAAAAACTAGCAGAATTCAGCCTGCTGAAAGTGGCGTTGCTAGTGGTGAGGTGGGAACGGGAAAGAAGCCTTCTTGAGGTTTGGACCCCCCGATGAGAGTGTGCACAAACCAGGCGGGTTGCTCTGGAAGCCGCGCGACTCTGCAACGGAGCCTGCAGCAAGGGGCTCTGCCGTGGCTCCTTGCAGAGCCTCGTGGCCCAGTTTTACCTCTGCTTTGGAGAGACTGCCATCCAGGCTGGAAACAGAGGGGAGATGTTTTCAATGACAAGGAAACATCCACCAGTGTTAGGCACGTCAGAGTGATAATGTGGATCCTGGAAACAGATGATGCGTGGGAAGGAAGCAATTTGTCTCCTTCCTCAAAATATTCGGGTTTGGAAAAAAAAAAAAAAGACACAGGAAAGATCAAACTCTGCTTCACTTCCAAGGAGTCAAACTGATAACAAGTGAGGGCGAGACCCTCAGTGTCACCCACATGCACGAGAGCACCAGGCATCCTGTTTTGCTCAGCAAGCTCAGGCCAGAGGGTAAACAAGTGGTTGTGCTGCCCTGTACCTGCTGGAGCCAGCCAGCCCAAGTGTCCTCCTCTCTACACCTCAACCCAGCATGGAAAGAAGATCCCACAAGGAGAAGCAGGCTCCAGGATGCTCCATGCTGGGAAGGCGGCAAGACTTTGCGGCCTGGAGGACGGGTGTGACGAAAGCACGCTTCAGCAAGACTTTCCTCTCCCGAGCCAGGGACAGGAAGAAGCCAGCTTTGGATCCAATCCAGCCCTGCCCAGTGATAATTTCTAATCCAGCATCCGAAGGATTACGGAAAGTTACAGGAGACAGATGGTGCTGCAAAGACGGAGAAGTCTCATTGCTTGGCTGCAGCCGGCACTTCCCAAGGTTCCGCCTGGGATTTCAGGCGGCTCCCCCTCTGCCGAAGCTCCGCGTGCCGGGGGCAGCCAGCCCCGGCCTCCGGCCAGCTCAATGCAGAGGGGCCCGGCGGGCGGCCAGGACACAGTGTTCCCCAAGGAGCAGCAGCCGCCCCTGCCTCCCTGCAGGAGCCCCGCGCCGGCCTCGCTCCCCACGCGGGCCCTTGGCCCAGTGCAGACACGGGAAAAGCCAAAAGGCACCTGGAGAAAGGAGGCCAGCACGTCCCGACAAACACCGCGTGTGCTGGTTTGGCCCCTCCTCTGCCCCCTTTATTTAAAACACACTAAAACTATTAGGTCTCAACTTTCTAATTTTGGCCAAATAGACTTCTCCAGTTAAGCAATAAAACAGTAGCATTACAAGGAACAAAACTGAAGTCTGAACCAGCAAACTGGGAGAACCATTTAAACCTCCCTCCCTGACTCACATGAACGCTTACTCAAACCAGTTGCCTGACTGATGCTTTTGAGAAATCCTCTTTTTTCTCTGAAAGACGATGCAGCTTTCCAATGAGGATGGGGGAACTTCATGCTCCACCAGCGCAGCCTCCCTAGCAGCCCTTCAGCAAAGCCTGGGAGGCACCTTGCTGGTTATTTCCCACGTCAATAACAAGCAGGGAAAAGACCCACAGCCAAAACACACTCCAGGGGCATTTTAGACACTGCTGGGTAATGGCACAATCATCATAGACACTACAGTAACCCCCACAAACAAGCAATGTTTCACTGATAAATACAGGAGTTTGTGGGAAAAAAGGGAAAAAAGAAAAGGAATATCTCTGTTTCTAATGGCAATATAGTGTTCACTTTATGGGACACCTTTAAATCAAGGAAACGTGGAGAAATCCAAGTCTAGGCACGAGGCTCTGCCCTTACCTCTCCAGGCTGCACAGACCTTGGCAAACCCTTTTGCCTGCTGCTAAACAGGAATACTCCTCTCTTGGCTACGTTTTTGAGACCTACAGGTGAAAAAGAGACTTGACAGGCTGGGGAGGAAACTACTGACACAGCCTCGTTTTGAGCTGGCAGAGATTGGGCTCAGGCACCTACTTCCCTTCCTGCCAACTCCATGCGGGAGCCATGCCCAGGAGGGGGATGGCAGCGGCCCCACGCACAGCCCCAAGCATTTAAGCGCTTGCACATGGAGTGCGTGGCCATGACTGTTATTAAAATTAACAAAAAAAAAAAAAAAGGAAAAGCTCCACTCAAAAAAAACTCCGTTCAGTTCAGTGGACCACAACTGCAGGAGCGAAGCTGAGCGTAATCCGAGGGCAGACAGCGCTTTCCATCGCCGCCTTCTGCTCCATCGGAATGTGCTGAGGGCATCACTAACAACAGGCACATTGTTACACACCAGCTACTCCTTCCTCGGGGGCTGTGGGGGCTGCGGGAAGACTGAGATAATTATTCCCATTATGTCCCGCAATGGTGGGAACGAGACTGCTTTTTTCCTGGGCTCCAGACTGCTCCAGCCCAGGCGGAGCTATTCCAGCAGCAGGAAAACACCTTGCAGAGGCTCCCAGGATGCTTTCGCCGGGCCACTTTTCTTGGGTGGCCATGAGGGAATCCCGTTTCCAATGCCCTCTCCTCCTTCCAGGAGGAGATCCCCAGGCCACAGCACAGTGCATGCAACCCCTGGCCTCCCTCCTGCAGCCACGGGAGCCCAGCAGGGCCCAGGTTTGGGCTGCGGGAGGGACGTCGCAGCCTGCTGAGGGCCTCTCTGCGGCACCCCCACACGCCAGGTCTGACCCCGCTGCCCTACTTGGGCGAGGATGGGCAGGAAGCGCAGACAGCAGATGGGAGGGAATTAAACTGAGATTGAGGAGAGGCTCTGCCTCCCCAGAATTGAGACTTATTCCTGGCAACAAGGAGCTGAAAAGCACTTACACATCAGCCCTCCTTGTTAATTCACCAGAGAGTATTATCCAAGCTTGTTACAAGACTGATGTTCAGTGCAGCATGATCATTAATAGTTACCACTTGGCCCAGATAGATAAGGATGCAAAATCTAGTAGCCAGAAGTTGTTTCTCTTCCTTGCTTGATCTTTTTTTTGATCCCTTGGCCCTGCGTGCAATGATCAGATCAGAAGGCTTGGGCGGTGGGGGAGAGGGGTGGCTTTTCAGTTTCTTCAAACTCGGCTGGCTCTTCTCTAAGCCACGTGTCACCACTCACAGGAGCGACCATGAGAGCCGCGGAGATGCTGTGCGCGAACGGCAGCAGCGCATCCGTGTGCCGGC